GAGCCGTAAGAACGATGGAATTTGAAGAAGAAGTCCTTTAGCGAGTTGCCGACGAACCATCAAGTAGCACGCGACACATTGCTGAGGATATGAATACGAGTAACGCTTCCGTCTGGCGAGCGCTACACGAGCAACAACTTTATCCTTACAACTTCCAGAAAGTTCAACGGTTGACCGCAGCCGATTATCATCCTAGAGTTCAATTTTGTCCAATGGCGTCTTCATGAAATCGCTGCACAACCAAATTTTTTACGCTATGTTTTATGGACCGATGAAGCCTCTTTCACAAGAAACGGTATTTTAAATAGTAGGAATAGCCACGTTTGGGACAAAGAAAATCCCCATGATTTCAGCATGATGGAGCGCCGGCTAACTTTTGCTGTACAAGTACGTGAGTATTTGGCTCAGCGGTTTGGGCTCCGTTGGATTGCCAGAGGTGGAGCAGTTTCTTGGAGCGCCCTATACAAGGAGCATGAAAGGACCATTTCTTTTGTTTTGCAATAGTTTTTAGGCATACGCATAGGGGTTTCACAAAATTAGATTCAATCCTCAAAGCTTTTCCCACCTAGCCAAAGTAGAGCGGTCCAGTGGTCCAACACGTTTTTGATCAATAGCAGTAGCCATGGAATTATTATCTGACAGTTCACAACATTTAATCAACAAATTTCAAATCTGGGCTGCGTTCGAAAATTGTTATTCTGTAACAATTTTAGCGTTCGTAATTGTTTGACGTACCTGTTACATGCGTTCGGAAATAGAACAAAGTAGTCCTTCTGGAACATCAAAAGTGTACTTTTATTCCCGATCTCAAAACCTTGAGAATAAGAGATCTGTCACTTGTCATTCTCATGGCTCGTTGTTTGTTTATTTTATATGGTTATCAAAGCTGCTAATAATTGGCTGAATATTATTTTTCAGGATAAATGCTCCAATGGTCGCAGAAAACGTGGTTAGAAATTAGTCGGCTGTCATCAAGAGTCATTACATGACTCTGTAATATACAAGTGACATATAAATCCGAACACCCAGTTTAAATGGTTTTATTTTAATAAAATTTTGTATAAGTACTTAATGAAGCATAATAAGTAAATGATACAAATTTCAAAATGATTGCACTGCTTTACAGCCCTTTGACCTTTAATAATGTGTGGATGCACCCTGATGTGCTACGCATTCTCCAACGCGCCTAGGCATGCTTCTCATCAGGTGGTCAATGTCCTCCTGTGGTATCTCATTCCAGGCAACCACCAACTCCTCTCGAAGTGCTTCTAGAGTCTGAAAAGGACGTTGCAAATTGAGCAATCTCCTACCCATCATATCCCACACGTGCTCAATTGGGGATAAGTCGGGAGATTTTGGTGGCCATGGTAACAATGTGACATCATTATGTTGAAAGAAGTCTATTGTGACTCTTGCAACATGTGGTCGAGCATTATCTTGTTGGAAAGTTGGATCTGCCAGGGTGTCAAGATAGGGTAAAAGATGGGGTTCTAGAACTTCGTGGATATAACGCTGCGCGTTCATGTTACCTCTAATGAAGATTAAAGGTGACCTGGAACCATAAGCTATAGCACCCCAAACCATAACACCAACAGTGTGATGAACATGTCTTTCAACAAAAAACTGTGGATTCCTCCTTTCACCACGTCGCCTTCTAACCCTGGCACGACCATCGTGCATGCCTAAACAAAATCGAGACTCGTCACTAAAGACAATACTGTTCCATTCCTGATCCCAGAGTGTTGTTGTCTGCACCACTCAAGGCGATTGCGTCGGTGTTCTCGAGTTAAAGGGAGGACCCAGTGTGGCCGGTATGAAAACAAGCCAAAACTTCTCATTCGTCGGTAAACACTTCGCATGTCAATAGGTCTTCCGTGTTCTGCAAACCATTCGTTTGCAATGGACCTGGTAGTGGAGAAACGGTCCCTTAAGGCCAATAATCTTAGGCGGCGATCTTCACGGTCTGTTGTTCTACGGCGGCGTCCAGTGCCCCTTGATCTTTGCGTACGGCCTTCTCGAAGCCATGCCTGACAACACCTAACCACAGTGTCTACACTTCTTTGCACTCTAACTGCAATTGCCCGAAAAGAAAGTCCAGCTTCCCGAAGTCCCACTATACGGCCCCTATCAAACTCACTAAGTTGACGAAATCGTACAGGTCTCCGTACTCTAGGCATCGTAACCGATCGTAAATGATGTCAAGAACCAAAACCCGCCAACGTTGATTCTTTACTGCGGCTGAAATATTCATTTTTAGAGCGTAAGTGAATTAAAAAAAACAGTATAAAAACCGGAATGTCCAACTGATAAGGCTGAAAAATTTTTCACTTCTTATTTACAGTAAGAAAAAAACATTCACCAACTTTTATTAAAATAAAACCATTTAAACTGGGTGTTCGGATTTATATGTCACTTAGTATAATTTAGGCCTTCTTACACAAAAGTTTCACAGTATTCTAGAGTAAAATTGCATCTGTGAATCCACATTCCATTACTTTGTAGGGTATTACATTGCCAAGTGATTTACAAACGCACCCCTGACAGCCAAGTAAAAGCTGCTCATTTACGTACTCTTGATAATGTTCATATAGTTTCAGTTTCAATGGCCACTTATTTGCCTTTGAAATATTCCGAAAACTCCACGAGTGGTATAATCCTGGAGGGTTTGACAAAATTAAGAAACAGCTACGGATATTAGTATTATGAGAACATATGTTATTTAAATAGGACGTTATTAAGGTCTTAACATGCCCAATACAAATTGAAACTAGCCGCAATGCGTTTGTTATATGGGATCGCGGTACGCAATCCAGTAGAGCACTTGAGTTTCGGCAATTTGCGGATCTTCTAATATTGAACATGACCTACTTTGGAGGTGACCTGTGTATTATCGCCATTTAAAAAACTAATGATCCTTTTTTTATGCTTCAGCTTTGAGAGATTCGAAAGTTTTAGGAAGGTCGAGAGCTTTGAATGTTTTGTGGGTTTTGGGAACTATGGGTTTTGCAAGCTTTGTAAGTTTTTATGAAAAGTTGAGAGTTTGGACAGTTAATATATACTAAGTGACATATAAATCCGAACACCCAGTTCAAATGGTTTTATTTTGATAAAAGCTGGTGAATGTATTTATCTTACTGTAAATAACAAGTGAAAAAATTTTCAGCCTTATCAGTTGGACATTCCGGTTTTTATACTGCTTTTTTTTAATCCACTAACGCTCTAAAAATGAATATTTCAGCGGCAGTAAAGAATCAACGTTGGCGGATTTTGGTTCTTGACATCCTTTACGATCGGTTACGATGCCTAGAGTACGGAGACCTGTACGATTTCGTCAACTTAGTGAGTTTGATAGGGGCCGTATAGTGGGACTTCGGGAAGCTGGACTTTCTTTTGGGGCAATTGCAGTTAGAGTGCAAAGAAGTGTAGACACTATGGTTAGGTGTTGTCAGGCATGGCTTCGAGAAGGCCGTACGCAAAGAGCAAGGGGCACTGGACGCCGCCGTAGAACAACAGACCGTGAAGATCGCCGCCTAAGATTATTGGCCTTAAGGGACCGTTTCTCCACTACAAGGTCCATTGCAAATGGATGGTTTGCAGAACACGGAAGACCTATTGGCATGCGAAGTGTTTACCGACGAATGAGAAGTTTTGGCTTGTTTTCATACCGGCCACACTGGGTCCTCCCTTTAACTTGAGAACACCGACGTAATCGCCTTGAGTGGTGCAGACAACGGTCACTCTGGGATCAGGAATGGAACAGTATTGTCTTTATTGACGAGTCTCGATTTTGTTTAGGCATGCACGATGGTCGTGCCAGGGTTAGAAGGCGACGTGGTGAAAGGAGGAATCCACAGTTTTTTGTTGAAGAAATGTTCATCACACTGTTGGAGTTATGGTTTGGGGTGTTATAGCTTATGGTTCCAGGTCACCTTTAATCTTCATCAGAGGTAACATGAACGCGCAGCGTTATATCCACGAAGTTCTAGAACCCCATCTTTTACCCTATCTTGACACCCTGGCAGATCCAACTTTTCAACAAGATAATGCCCGACCACATGTTGCAAGAGTCACAATAGACTTCTTTCAACATAATGATGTCACATTGTTACCATGGCCACCAAGATCTCCCGACTTATCCCCAATTGAGCACGTGTGGGATATGATGGGTAGGAGATTGCTCAATTTGCAACGTCCTCCTCATACTCTAGAAGCACTTCGAGAGAAGTTGGTGGTTGCCTGGAATGAGATACCACAGGATGACATTGACCACCTGATCAGAAGCATGCCTAGGCGCGTTGGAGAATGCGTAGCACATCAGGGTGCATCCACACATTATTAAAAGTCAAAGGGCTTTAAAGCAGTGCAATCATATTGAAATTTTGATCATTTACTTATTATGCTTCATTAAGTACTTACAAAATTTTATTAAAATAAAACCATTTAAACTGGGTGTTCGGATTTATATCTCACGTAGTATAATTTTAGAGCTATTTACAATTTTGAGTTTTGAAAGTTTTGAGAATTTTAAGCGTTGTGGGGGTTTTAAGCTTTGAGATGGGAGTTTTGTGGGTTTTTAAGAGTTTTGACAGTTTGTAGAATTCAGAGTTTTGAAAGATTTTAGGATGTTGAGAGTTTAGAGAGTCAGTCCAGGGTAAGAAAACATGCGCTGACATCATCGCAATTCTTGAAGTTATGTTACGAAAGATTTGAGTAACCTGAATGCTTTAAACGGGTTTTAAGAGTTTTGATAGTTCCGAGAGTTTTGAAATTTTTTAGAATGTTGAAAGATTTAAAAAATCTTAGTTTTGAGAGTATCTGGAGTTTTGAAATTTCGTATAGTTCTGAGAGTTTACACACTCTATCGGTTATGGGAGCCTTGAAAGTTTCGATGAATTAAGAGTTTTGGAAGACTTAGGGAGTTTTGAAACTTTTCATACTCGCTTTTGGTCTAGGATCTGAAGGATTTGGAGACCCGAAGGTTTTTGATGTATCATACTTACCTCTGGTAAGATCCGGCGTAAGATACGGCGCACTGGCAACACTGGAGCAGTTCCATCTCCTGTTCCCAAAGACCTGCTGGCATGTGTCGACAGCGAGTCGTGCCGCTTGCTGGACGTGAGGCATCGCATCTGGTGCCGTTCGGCAGAGTCGCGCCTGCGCTCTGGCAAGTCCGTATCTGCGCCGGGCCACCGCGCAGGGTGATCGGTCCCCCGAACGTACGCCTCTGCCTCCAGGACTGTTTTGGAGCGACCAGGCGGTCAAGTTCCAATGAAGATGAGAGTGTTGGAGGGAGCTGCAAGAAAAAATGGAGTTAAGAGGAGCGTTATAATATAAAGGATGGTGTACGAAATAATGTCAATGTTTTATATCAGAAAGCACAGTTTAAACAGTAAGGCAACTCCCGACGATATGAGAGAGCATCCTGGTTAACTTTCATTTCCGCTACCAAGGAATACGGATTAATCCGTCAACATCTCCTAGTGTGTTCTCAAGATCATTTATTTAAAATCACCCGTCAGTACCATCGACTATCGACTGAAATTCAAAACTCCTTTAATCAATAAAATTGTATGTATACAACAATTATCTACAAGTAATCCATACAATTGAATAATTGAGGAGCTTGCGTTCAAAACCGCCTATATCATTTTTTATAAATTGTTCAGGAGATGAAAAAAACTTCTGATACATTTGCCTATATATTTATGAGAAGCAAAAAATATATATTCTGTGTATATTAATATATTAGTACAATATTTTTATAATTATGATTAGGAATCTCTAGGAAAAAAATATAATTATTTGGATATTTTATTGAATTGTAGATGCGTTGTTATTGTGATTCTTTCATCTTCATTCAATTTTCTAATTTTTCTAATGACTAACCCTTTCATTTCTGAAATAGCATGTATTTTTTTGAATATCCTTTCAAGGTCTTTGATATCAACTATTTTCTAGTCGGTTCCTATAACATTTACATTCCCAACTTCACTGTAAGTTTTAATATACGCTTATTTAGAAAACATCACTGGATTCTTAAGTAATTTTTCAACTCTACCAAAACAACCATCGGCTGACATGAAGATGTGCCCACGAAAGGGGAAAGCAACGGAAATTTTACGTATATCATTAGGGAACTTATTCTCTTGCTGTTTTACGGCGTCTGGTGCCTTTATTTGCCTCTTCAATGCTCCATGATTTTCGTTACTTTGCGTACTAAATTTTAATAGCTAACCTCAATAAATAGCGGATAATACGCGTGGGTGATCCGAATCAGGTGAGACTGGATATAAGCCGTTTTGATCACAAAATCAGATATAGGCGGTTTTGATGCAAAACCACAACTTTGGATGCAATTTAAACACACAAAATAGGTGGCTTTGAACACAATGAACGTGCCATTCGATAGAGCTCCTCAAACTTAGACGAAATCCATGAAAATGTCAAAATATCCAAATAATGGATATAGGCGGTTTTGAACGAAAGCTCCTCAATTAGACGTCAGTACACAAAAACCTGTAAAGAAGCACTGTATAATCAGAAAATTAAAATACAAAAATGTACTGAATATACATACGCACAGGTTGAGTATTGAAAAATACAAGCTTACAAATGAGACAGATCACTTTTTTCTAAATAAAATAAAACAATGACACGACATTGAATGTCAAACAGCTTAAAATTCGTGATCTAAGAATTGCTGCACCGTATAAGGTTCCATTTCTATGAGAATATTCCAACTCAGACAATCCACCAGTTATTTGTGCTCCAGGTCTGTACTAAGCATCGAAGTCAAACTCCTGAAGTTGGAACCACCACACTGGTGGCCTTCAACGCATTGTAATCAGTCACCACTGTAAAAAGAACTGCCAGCAAATGTAGCCGGAACTTCAAATTCTCAACTAATGCCAGAGCTTCCAACTCATATGAGAGGTTTTTCTATGTTCACCATCGACGGTTTGCCAACTATAGTACGCCACTGAATGTAGCCTCTGATCTGGCTGCAACTCTCAGCACACGTGCGTCGCAATGAACTTTCTGAACGACACTTCTTCCTGTTCCCCTCACCTCCAAGACACACTCTTTTTGAGAAGATTTGTAAGGGGCTTAGCTATTACAGCGTAGTCCTTCACAAAATGCCTAAAGTATCTTATTAGCCCAAGGAACTATCGGATTTGGTGTGATGTACTTGGTTATCGAAATTTCTTCACCGCGTTCGTCTTTTCCTCGCCGAGTTTGACCTTTCCATCCTTTATTTGGAATCCAAGAAATGCAACTAATCTCATCAGAAAAGCACATTTCTTCAAGTTCAAAGAGATAGCATCCTGTCGAAAGATTTCCAAAGTTATTTGAATTCCTTCCAATGCCGCCTCCAGAGTCCTGGCGTGCAGCAATACATCATCAAGATATACAACTGCAATGTCTTGAATCGGCTTGAGCAACCTGTTTATAAGCCTCTGAAATACTCTGGGTGAATTTGAAAGGCAGAAGAAAACATAATGGCTCTTTAAGCTTTTTCGTCCTTGTGTGAAAATTTCATCACAATCCGAGCAGTCTTTTTCAAGTTATAGATGGGCCAAGGATTAGCGGATAGATAGATAGACCGACATGTTTACAGACCTTATGATTATCCCATTTTCGAACTTCTTCGCGAATTCAATATTTTCTCGCCAGTTGCATGGACTCTATCCTAGTTTCTGCATCACTATTGTAATTTGAACCTTGGAATTTTCTATTGTGCTTGTAAAGAAACTCAATTTTTGGTCTAATCATTTCATGCAAGAATACAGAACAATATTAATTGAATATGGACGAGACCCATAAAGCCGGATTTACACGCTCTTCTTCTTCTTTGAACGCCCGACAAAACGTACAACAAAACGTACGTTTTGTCCAGTGTATACACACTACGTGTTTTCCCTTCCGCTTTCTACTATGATTCCAATCTAGAATCTTGAGTTGTGTGAAGTTTGTTTAGTGAATTTTTTTGAGAGACTTCTTTTATTTTTTCAACTATAAGGATACAAACACTGCGAGGAAAAAGGATGAAGAGGGAAAAGACAAGATGATCAAGGGAGAGGCTTTTGAAAAGAAACCAGTAGTCTCACGTCTCGTTATTGAAACAACTGAGGGGCGAACCAGGCGACGCAATTATTTGCGAATGGACACCTGAGCCTATTGTCAATTGCTAGAGTTAGTAACAGATTTCTGATGCCCTCACATTTGTCAACTCTTTTTTGTAACCGATCTCAACGAGTTTACTTTTTTTAACAGTCCCTTTATTTGCCATCGGATTTATTTCTTTGTATTTTTTATAAGATCCTCATCCACGAAGTCTTTTATTAGGGTCACTATAGTCTTTATCTTTCACTTGCCACAAATACGGAAAAGTCTTATACATTTCAATGAATTCACCGAGAAAATCATGGGTGCATTGCCGCAAGTCTGACATAATTAGGTTTTTCGGGGGAAAGACGGAAGCGAGCTGAAGTGGAGCTACTCGTGAACTGAGCCAAGATCGGACGTCTTGTCTGAACATGAGTCTACACGTTCCGTTTTGTCCTATCAGTTCTCGCAAAATGATGCTTCACCCATCAGTTTTTCAATCTGACCTTGGATTTCATTTCGATTCGACAAGACGTACGTGTTGCTGTTTACACGCCACGTTTTATTGGATAGGATTTGTCCTGGCCCACAAAACGTAGCGTGTAAACCCGCTTTAAGATTTCCGGTTCTATCTGGATATGAAATAATTACTACATATTCCCGAACACTCTGTATAAGCAAGAAGCTAATTGTTTGCGACACCTTGTATCGTAACAGGTACTAACTACAGTATATGGTACACATAGAAAGCATTACCTGAGTAATTTGTGTTAAAATATGAAAAAGGTGATAAACAATACTGACGCCTTTGTATCGCACAAAGAAATAATTCACATCGCCCATTATGAAAGTCCGTTAGGGACCGTTGCCAAAAAGTTTAGAATCACACTTGATCTCTAATCCATTCTCAGCGGATAACCGTTTCTAATTCAGTTTTATGTGAGGATCATGTCAGGCGAACATCTTGAATCGTTTTTAGCCAACGAGTATCTTCACCTTCCATTATAATTGTTTTTTTTGCTAGTGACTAGAAAAAAATGGCATCAAGTAGCTTGACTCCACGCTTAACACGCAACGCTGTCATCAATTAGTCCGTGAAGGCTTATATTCGGCACAATTATCCACTTCGCAGCTAATACACCAACAAAGCAGCATCCGCAAATGAAGCTCCTCGTGAAAATCACAAATGAAACTGAGTAGTTTGACGCGCGTCACCGGCACTGCGTCAGTCGCGTACTATCGATAAATAACGAATGATGGTCCGCGTCCTGCCGAGTTCGCGATTCAAAGAAACAGTTTAACTGCTTTTATTAAAATGTTTAATTGGTCTAAATGCACCTTTTCAACATAAACTAAACTATCTAAGCTAAATAAACAGTTTAATAAAACAGGTGCATGGTTTGCTGTTTTCAAGCAAATTAGTTTAATAGTACTTCAGTTGGCCCACTTCAAGATTTGTACCAAAATATGCCTTTATAAACTAAACATGACGAAACTATTTACTTCTAAGATAATCTATTTTCTCAAAAACATTTTAGATACACTCTAGTCGTAAAAAATACATATTTGAAATCACATAGACCTATAACTAATAGAACATCTGAACAAATAAACAACGTGCGAATAAATGCGCGAAGTTAACAAAGCAACAATTGAAAGATTACCATTGGCTAACATCACCTTTATTTTGTATTACGGCTGAAATTCTTTGGGGCATAGTGTTAACCAAATTTTTGCAAAAATTTGGTGTAAAACAATCCCATATTTCTTGAAGCTTTTGGCTCAGTTCGGTGATTGTTGTCGTACAACCTTTTTCATCTCGTGCCACAAAGTTTCAATAGGTGACAGATCTGGACTGCTAGAAACCCATTCCAAAAGTGGTACATTATTTTCTTCCATCCATTTTATAGCCTTTTTTGAGGTATGGCACGCTGCACCATCTTGCTGAAACACAAAATCTTGGCCGGATGTCAAACATTCTTCCATCACTGGTAAAAGCGATTCTTCTAAAATTGCCAAATATTTGTTTGTATCCACATTTCCATCAATAAAATGAAGTTTTCCTACTCCTTTTGATGACATACTGCCCCAGACCATAATGGATGCTGGAAATTTCACTTTTCTCTTCAGACAGTCAACATGGAATGCTTCATTTATTTGCGAATAACTCTACTGCGACTGTCACCA